ACACACACACATCAAGTTTATTATACTACATTCATGATTAAAATCTTGCCAAATTCCCTCAACCTTTTATAGATTAGGTCCCAAAGTCTTAGACTGGAACACCAAATGCTTAACCATTGCCCCCCATCAATTCTGCCACGCCTCATCTGCAGCCACCACTCTGCAGACTTTCTGGACTAGGAATGCTTAGTTAAATGGATGTATGCAGACAGCTTCCACCAAACCACCTGCTGAACGAACCGGTACTCTCCATTCTCTCCACTAAGTATGTTGACACCCACAGTGAGACAGCCAGCGGCTGTTCTCTAGTGTCTTATACTTCTGTTCCCCCTAAGTAATATGTAAACTCCCCCAAGTCAGTTGTATGTGTCCCCAGATTTCTTGTCTAAGCTGGTAGGACATGTTTTTGTAATTATATTATACAGTCTTATAGAATATGAGTATGCAAAGAGAGAGAGCTATTGGATCTATGGAAACTACTTTGAATGGTTTGAAAAGACTTAATAATAATAGGTTGAAAGAACATTCCTGTACATTGGTGATAAAATTTTTGGTGATAAGATTTTTCTGGAAGCAGAAAAATCTTTAAAAAGCTAGACCTGTTCTTTTAGTTTTCTTTTCAAGATTTCTAAAGTCCTTTCTTATCTTAAAGAAAGCAAAACTAGAAAGAATAGATGATGTGTTTTTGGTGTGTGTTACCTAAAAAAGACAAAGCGAATCTGTAATCAATAACACTGCCACACTCAAAAGAATGGCCTTGGCCTTGTAACATGCCATGGTCTGAATGTTTGAGAGCCCTCCCATTCTATGTCGAAATGTTAACTCTCAAGGTAGTGGTATTTGAGGTGGGACCCTGGGAAGGTGATTAGTCCATGGGGCAGAACCCTCATAAATGAGACTAGACCTCCTTTATCCCTTCCACCATGTGAGGACAGCAGAAGAGTTGGAAGTCTGCAACCTGGAGAAGGTCCTCACCCGAACCCAACCACGATGACACCCTGAGCTGGGACTTCCCTGCTTCCAGCACTGTGAGAAACAGATTTGTGCTGTAAGTTATAAGTTAGCCAGTCTATGGTATTTTGGCAGAATAGCCGGAATGGACTATAATGGATGATGATGTAACAAATGAATGATGAATGAATACATAGCTGTAAATTTTAAATTGAAGTCAACCATTCAAGGTAAACACGTGTTTTTTAATGAAAGCACCCGTTGTCTGCTCCGACACATTACCGTTCCCAATTGAGACAGGCAAGGAGGTGACTCCCGACATTCCACCTGCTCTTGTAACCCCATTACTTAGAATGTGCGTTTCCTCTGCCAGCAGATGCCCTCCCTACTCCAGGCTCTGTTACCTGGCACACTCTGGCTTATCCTGTGCTATCATGTCAATTGTGACCTCCTTCACATTGCCCTGTCTTGGCACTTCCCCTTACTGCATCTTTCACTTGTTTCTGTTCTTTTTTTTCCTCACCCAGCAGTAGAACCTCCTTTCTATGTTTGGGTATGTCCCACTCCAAGACAGTGCCTCCTTCATCCATAGAAGAGTTACTATCGTCACTCCTCATTGCAAAGCCCAGGCGTGCCAGCTAGGTATCACTGCCACCAGCCTCAGGTGTCAGCTGTGCTAAGTGGTGTGAAGCCCCCCAGCACTGCTGCTAAGACCACCTGGGGCTGGGTAGGTGCAAAAGGGGTGGTGCCAATGGCAGGGACCTGGAGACTGGTTGTTTGACCTTCCCAGATACTCTGTGACCCCCTAAAACTCTTTATTAAATTCCTTTTCTGCACAAAATAGCCAAAATTGATTTCTCTTGCTTAAAGCTAAAAATCCTGGCTGATATTTTGTCTTAAAACAATGATATGAGGGTGGTGCCTGTGGCTCAAAGGAGTAGGGTGCCGGTCCAGAGGTGGCAGGTTCAAACCCAGCCCCAGCCAAAAACAAAACAAAATAAAACAAAACAATGGTATATGACATTTGTAACTGTTCCTACATGTGTTTCTCCCCATAGGATTTTAAGCTGGAAGTGTCACATTTCATCACTGTAACCCCAGTGCCCAACATAGAGCATAATAATGAAAAGCAGATGCTCAAAAAGTTGTTATTAATTAATTTGTTAATTAACTAACTACTTAGTTCATAGGGATAAAAGATTCCTCTGACCTTCCAAGCCCTAAAAGTGAAAGCAAATGACATCAGCCTATCTCCAGTGGCTGAGGAGACGTGTGGTCCATTCTGAGTATCCTTTTACCCGCAGTTGTCACAGAAGATGAACACAGTCATGAAGAGTTTTAGAGCATTTAATTAAATATGAGATGGTAACGCACATTATATACTTATATACTTAGCAGCTCTGCAAAATGTTTGTAATGCATGTGGAAAGTACACAGTCAAATCAGAGACCTTCCCTGTAGTGAATGATGGATATTTTTAGGAACAAACCCTAATAGAAACCACCAAGCTGGTGAAAATGCCGCCTGATCTAAATCATTTCCATGCTCTCTACCATGAATTTTTCCTGGCCAGTTGCAAATCTTGTGGCCTCTCCAGAAGAAATGAGAAAACACAAGTATGCACATCTCAAACAGGCCATACTGGCTTTTCTGTTGCTAATTCCTATAAAAACCACATTGAAGGAAGAGGCAAAGGCAGATAGAAAATGAACAGAATAGGCCAGGGTGCCCCAGGCACAGACATGGCTGCTTGACCAAACTAGTTGCCAATTTCTGTTGTCTCTTCATTTCATGCTACATAGAAGTGGCAGTTCACATCTCTGATTTATACATGGTCTCTGGCCAGGAGTTTTTCTTTCTTAATAAGATCTAGTAAGGGCTTAGGCAGAACCAATTTGTAATCTTACATTACACATTGTCCTTAAGTACATAATGAAGCATTAGCAGCCGTTATGGTGACAAGAGTATAATGTGTGGATTTTAAATGCCTCCAATACAGACAGACACTAAATTTCAGCGATGACGTCTGCCAGACAACAAGAAGCAGAAGATTTTAGAGCTGGAGGGACTCGATGTTTCTTCCTCTCTAGTCATCTGTCTGTTTACATCATGGATAGGAAGTTATGGCTCCCAATTTAGACTTCATGTGAGGTTGAGCAGTTTACCTATCTTCTCTGGGTCCAAAAGTTCCCAAAGATAATAATAAAATACTAAAAAGAATCTCTGTGAATGAGGTACCAAAGACCTTGGTTGGGCAGGAGATCTTTTGTAACCTTCTCTTTGAGACTTGGCTCCCATTTCCCACGGGTTGGAAATGTCTTCTGCTACTTCATGCCAGGAAGGTTCTACTTTTCCTCCAGGCAAATCTGTGTTATTTAGTGGTATTTTTCCATGACTATCTCCAACAGGGCACTTTCAATATACTTCTGTTATAGCATCTTGTGTTATGATGATAACTTATTTACAAAGCTGTCACTTTGTTGGATTATACACTTCATGAGACAGGGTACCATCCTTATCTATCTTTAGACCTCCTGTGCCTAACACTATGGCCGGCACATAGCAGGCTTTTCATGAATACCAACCAAGGAGATGGAAAAGAATGCTTAGGGAAGTGTTTTAGAAATCACAAAGCCCTAAGCAAATCTCAGGGATTATATGGAGTTGTGCTTTTTACTACTGATGTAGAGGAGAGCACTTTGGAAAGTGAAACATTCATTGAAGAATAACATGGCCTGATTGCCACTAGTGCTTGAAGCCAGCAGACAAGGCCCATTAGTCTGCAACTTAAAACCCTATTCACACACAGCACAAAACAAAACAAATAACAAAATTAAAATATTGAAAACAGTCTCTCTAAGGAAGAAAATTTAACATAAAAACAATGACAACCCCCAAACAAAAAACCTGGAAGAACCTTTTTTCAGTTCTGTGAACAGCCAGGGTCCGGGGGATGGGGGAGAAAGGGTCAATTGTACTCCCCTGAGATGACTTTGCTCAGTCGCCTTGACTTGGTTTGAGCTAGTCACTAGAAATTCATCCAGACCAAGCAAGGTAAGAGGACAAATCTCAAATGTTAATAATGCATCTCTTCTGTGTATCTTCAGTAACACGGTCGCAGTTGGTCCTCTCATTGCATATGTAACTCCTTATCCCTGAGGTTTGTGGTAACATCCAAGGCTATTAGAACTTAGGAAAATTTGGGGATACATTGAATTGGGGAAATGTCCATAAACATGTGAGGGATTAGTCCCCCCTTATTGTTCAAATGTGCTAGTGTGGTGGCAGGAAGAGGAGTGTGGTCTTGATAACTAGCAAGAGAAATACTGGGCTTCTAATTTATTCCCTCTTGAACTTGTTTTCAGAAAAATGAAATCAAATGGGCTTTGTGGCTTCTTCTTGCCTTCTTTACCTTCTTTTCACATAGCTGGCTATAATACGTCACACCTCGTTTGGATAATAAATTATGTGATCTCCCTGTGTACTCACGAATGGGGTAATGCCTAGTGAAGAGGAAGGGTCATGGCTCAGGGAACTGCGCTGGACTCTCAGCCATCAGATCTTGGCTCCATCCTCGCTGAGTGAGCAATTTAGGTAAGTTACTTAATCCCTTAATTCTCAATTTCTTTATCTATTAAAAGAGAATAACAATAATTGCCCTCACTTTCCAGGACTATGGTGATGATGAAGACAGATAAGGCGTGTAGAGCACTTGCGCAGCATTGGTAGGTGGCAAGTCCTAATAATGGCAACTATCATTCTTATTTTCCTTTCCTGCTTTTGTCTTGCCTTCCTCACCCTTCCACTCTTTTCTTGGCTCTTCCTTTCATTCTTTCTTGCTTTTTTTTTTTTTTTTAAATAATTGAATCACAGAGTCACCTTGTGACCAAATCAACATGATAGAAGCAGGATGTTTCTTGTCATGTTGAGGGTCACTGAACCAGGCTGGCATGGTCAAAGCCATGTTTCAGAGTCCTGTAGACCATCCAGTGGGGTTTTGTCAATTTTCTCTTCTTTGTGTTGTTGAGGGAGAGTGGGAGCTCTAGAACTATCCACCACCTTTGTTGGTCATGGTGGGCTCAGTCTTGTCTTCTCACAATTTACTTACTGGTTTTGGTAGAAACTGGACATGGTGACATAGGCTTCTTCTGGACTTGGTCCCAGGGAAGTGAGGATGGGTTGGCCCTGAACAATTGGGTTCAATGTCAGGATTCCAGACTGGAGAGGAAATGGAGGGGTGAGGAGGCTGTTTGTAGTCCCAGGGCTAAGCAGGAGGCCCTGGTACACATGAGGCCCATTCTGGCCAGTCTCTGGGGACCTGGAGGAGGAGAGTACTTGGGTATCACATGCACTGCCATTCCTGGCTGGGCACCCAAGGGGTGACTCTCCTCTAATAGTTTCTGGAGTGATGACTGTATGCTCAGATGGCCAGCGGGGGCCCTGCACACCCCCTCCAAACCTCTGCTTCTCAGACTCCTCTAGCTGTGGGGAAAACGCTTCTTGTAGAAAGCTTTCTGCTTCATCTCTAGACTGAATGCCATCCACCTTGTGAATCTGACAGTCCAGGAAACTTTCAGGATTGAAACTCACATTCAAATTCTGCATAGAAAAAGAGAGAAGGCATTCAGACGGTACAAGAGAGAGATGTATCACCAAATGTCCAGTTTAGGAAAAGGGCTAGACAGCCTTCAGACAGGGAACATCAGAGAATTGCCCACATGCCTCTCAGTTTGCTTCTGGAGGTGCTGCAACACTTCAGGGTTGAAAGTGTCTACTGGCTGTGCCCTCCAGCCCTGGGAAGCCCAGAAGGTCTGAGACTTGTGTCTCATTTTAGTTCCCTCCTGCAGCCAGGGGCTTACGATGGACCCTAGTTATGGGATGCAGAAAAGACCTGACGTTGAGGCTTAACTTTTCATTGTCCTGGAAGAGCATTCTTGGTGACTGGGATACTGCCAACTAGTGCTTTTGTAAGATCACAAAACACTCACCTTTCCCGGTTTCTTACACAGTTGTTCCAGTGTCTTCTTATGATCTGGGAGATTGGGCCATACAACAGGCTTAATCCTGAAATCAGAGGACATCAGTAAATGAAGTGAGTGTCACAGAGTACAGGCACAGAGAGACATTCCACTTATTCTGAGCCAGGAAGCAGAGAAGTAGATTTCTAGTCTTGGCTGTCCCACTAAAGTTGGTCACTATAGCCAAGTGACTTGCTTTCTCTGGGGCTGGGTTCCCTATTAATTCAAGGAGGGTTGTGCCTGAGACCACTACTAGTAATCTACTCTGTGAATAAGACATGACATCAACAAGCCTCTGGGAAAGAGCCCTAGAAGAGGCTTGTGGTGAAGTGTCTTTGTGGTGCTCTGGAACTACAATTTGGCTGGTCATTTACTCCAATTGAGGGCTGTTGTCTTAGTCCTTGTCTTCACTGGCAGCAATTCCTTTGCCCTAATTTTGGTGGAAGTGGGGGATATTTCCTAATTTGTCTAGAGGAAATTGCTTAGTACTTTACAAATTAGGTATTTGTAATCCTGCGATTATTTAGCTCTGTGCTGAGGGCATATTCCTAGAATATTAAATAAATGGTGCATAATTAAAACATAATTTTTATGATGAAACAAACAGTGCCCTATCATGGCAAAAGTTCTATAAATCTGTGCTGAAAGTCAGGACTTAGGTGAATCCTACATTTGCCATAGGTGATACGTTCTATACTTGTTAGAATACTTTAGAGGAAAATCTTGGGAAATGCTGCCTTAAAGAATTTGTCCTTTGGGGAAAAGGTTTGCCTTATGCCCAGTTTATATATTTTTGCCTCTTATGAAATCAACTGTGGAAATTCACTGATGCCAAAGGATGGAGAGTGATCCTGGCACTATAATTCCTAAAACGCCTTATTCCTCTTTGCAGTTTTCATATCAATAAATGGAACTCAAGTTCTGAAGTCTGGGATCCCACATAATCATCCTGCTGAATAGATGAAGGAAGTCACCTTCTTTTCCATAACACACAGGCCAAGATGACCAAGAGAGCCACAGAGAAGAAACTCGAAATGCTGATGGTTAGTAACACAAGATCCATCTCCTCTGCAATACAAGGATAGAACATAGTTAGCATTGAGTAAGGCGGCATAGGGATAGATGTTCAGGATGCTCTGAGTTTATTTAGTTATGGGGGCCCATTTATTATTTCTTGAAAGTTGCTCATCAATAAACAGAATGATGTGCTAGATTTATTGGTAGAAAAAGAATCCAATGTACTCAATTCTAATATGAAGATAGTAGATGAGCTAATACAGGGGGAGGGGAGGGGAATAAGTAAGCGGGGAGAGGGGAGGAGGAAGGAGATGGGGGGTCATGGTATATAGCACACCTCTTGGGGGTAGGACACAATTATATGAGGGACTTTATCTACCAAATTCAATCAATGTAACCTAATTCTTGTAACCTCAATGAATCCCAAACAACAAAAATAAAAAAATTTTTGGCCTAAGTGTCAGTGATTTGGGTGACCAAGCCCAGAACATCCGCCACTTGAAATGTAAAATAATCTAGCATCAAAGGTACCACCTGCTCTTCCCTTCTCAACTTTTCACCAAAGGAAAGACGCCAGACCAGAGCAGGGGAAAAGGAGATAGATGGTCACTCTGTAGTTATAGCAAGTTCCAGGGACAGGAAGCTGGTATGATAGAAGAGTTCTCTCATCTGCCCCCTCACAGGCAAGGTAAATGTGGGGTGCTGGGGCTGCCTAAGCCATGTTCTCTGGCTCTCCTGTCCACTCTCAATTCCTAGCCTCCAAGCATATCATCATCATTCTGAAAAATGAGACCCAAGACAGTCACATCAGCCTGTCCACCTGCCATCAACAAACGTATTACCTAGTGGGGTCCTAGAGATACCAGATATTAGGATTCCATGTTAACATGGTTAGCTGGAGGTGGTGAGAGGGGATTTTGTTCAGAATTATTAGCAGCTCCCAGGAATACCCAGGACATTACTCTAGACAACCTGCACTAATATCAGCTGTTAAGGAACACCACCTCCTACTTCCAAATTTTTCAAAAAAGGAGTGAAACCAGTAGATAGGCTGATCTACAAAGAAAGTGTAAGAAGACCATGGAGAAGGGGCCCGACTCCTACACTTTAACACACCAAACACTGTTGGGGAACAAAAACTACCCCCACTCCTCACCTGGAAGATTCACTGGAGGAGTTCTGAAGTGGTAACTAGGACTCCATTCGCTCCAGATGCCCTCAAAATAGTCGAGGGAGTAAGGGATGGATCGGACTTTAACTTCATATATTGCATCATGTTGCAGCTTTCTCTGCAGGAGGGTCAGCTTTGTGCTGGACAAATTCACGTGCTAAAGAGTAAAAAGTGCCATTGCATTTTCAGGATGGAAAGGAAAGGAGAGGAGGTGTTGCCTAGACCTCTCAAGTCATTTCAAGGGGAACCCTTGTAGTCAAGTACACACTGTCTTGAGGTTCTCTCATAATTGTTACACAGGAGTTTTACTATGTGGAGGAGTCAGCAGTTGAGTTAGTGCCAGAGTCTGTGAGCTCATAGATAATACTGTGAATAGCCAAGGGCGAGAGTGACGTGATGGGATTTTATTCCAGTGAATTGGGCCCTCCTACTCCAGGTGGGTATAAATCATCCCCAGCCTCCCACCTTCCTTTCTATGTTTCAATATCTTTTTTGTTTCCTCTCCCCTTTCACATGCCAAGGGAGGTGAAAGGTTAGGTTATTGATCAGGAATCATTTCCCTCCAGAAAGATACCTTTCTGCATTGCCATTAGTAATATACAGACAATAGTCTTCCTAACACTGTGCTTAAAAGAAAAAAAAGCTCTATCAATGTGATAGGTAAAAAGTAGTCCATTTTAATTCATACTTGTATGTATTTGATAATCGGTGTTCTTATGTTTAACCCTAATTTTCTATTTGCCTCACGATTTTGATTATTGTGTGTGTTGCCATGTGTAAGCCTTTACTTTTGATGTCGTTACATGTATCTATCTTTCCCTTTCTTCTACAGATTTGATGCTTAGAATGTTCTTTTTCATGTCATGATTATATAAACATGTGCTGATATTCTTTTTAGCTTGTTGAGAGTTTCACTTTTATATAATTTCCTTAAATCAGCTATTATCGTTAGAGGAAGGGTGTTAGGCATTTAATTCTACCCCCCAATGGTTCTTCCCTCCAGTGATTATTCTGGTACCATTTATTCAATTCTTTTTACCACTAAAGCTGCTTTTTCATTGGTATGATTTTCAGATGACTAGTGAAAGAGGGCAGGTCAAGTTCACCTAGTCTGTGCATGTGCAGGGGTGGGGCATGTGGGTCACGGGAGAAAGCAGGTGGATGGGGCAGGCCTTCCCTCGACATGAGTAGCACACTGCACACAGACAAAGATGGTCTGGGCTTGAGAAAAGAAAGTGGACAGTAGGAATAAGTGAGAAAGAGAAACTGGCCTGTGAAAGAGAAACCATTATCTATTTTCTATCCTTGTGGCACAGAAAGGCCAGAAGTTATACTAGAAATCTGATAATCCAGGACCCTAATCTATTCTCTTACCTCCTCCTCAAAATATATATTAGGGTCTTCTCAGTCATTCCATTATCAAGGAATCATAACCCTCCACATTATGACAGGTAAAAATTAAGTTGCTTTATAAAGAAGTAAGACCTTGGGCTTTAAAGTAAAAACAGAACAAAGGGAAATATTTCACATCTCCTCTTATCTCATGTTCCCGCAAATCCTACCGTGGCTGTGATACTTTTTTTGTTTGATTTCCCTATGAAAGTGGCATAAGATATCACACTTTTTGAGGTTGATCCATAAAGAGGATCACTTTAGTCTCAATCCATATTGTTATCCAAATAACTTAGAAATACCCTAAAGACAAAAACTAGAGCAAGCAAAAAAATAATCAGAGCTAGAACTGTCTGTACCAGGGAAGATCCAGGTTTTTGCGAGACCTGAAGCCCTATCTGGTTGGAAGCTTCTTTCAGTAGAGGCACATTTTGAAAACAAAATTGTTAGGCCCTCCCAGTGTACATGCATGTCTAGGACAATAACACACGTAACTTTAAAAAGGTCTTACTTTATAAATGTACATACCATCCAGTTGTTTTCCTCCTTTTCCTGGCGGTAGGCTACATCATGCATTAATTTTTTTACATACTTCTTTTGCAAATGTGATGTATTAAATGTCACCACAAAGTCATGTGCTCCGTCACGATAGACAACATTTACATCAAAAGGAGCCTCTGGTTTAACTGGAAAGAAGAACAAATGGAGTTTGTATAAAGGGCAGTCAAAGAAATAATTGTAATATCTGAAACTCATCTTCTCTGAAGATCACTCTGACCCCTTCTGCTTCTGCAAATGGCTAACTCTTCAGAAAATCATCTCTTCTTCCAGGGCCAAATTCAGGCCCCGCTTCCCAGCCTCCCTTGCAGGTAGATGCACTCCCACCCCTGGCCCAGCCCACACCCGGGTGTGACTCCTGTGTTCAGTCCCCTGCCAGCACATGGAGTCCTGCACCAAAGATGGTGAAGCTGCAAGATGGAAGTGGGCCCTGAACGCTGCCTGCAGGAGCTCCATCCACAGCTTAGAAACCCTGATTTTGACTCTGATATGAGTGAGAAATATGTTTGGGGGTTTATCTGTTATAGCAGTTAGTATTCATTTTACACTAAAGCCCACTCTCTTTTGCCTTTTCAATACTGGAGAACTTTGTTCCTAACTATCCTGAATCCAGCAATATTTAAACTTTGAGCCTTCATTCTTCCAAGAAAATTGGGCTCTATCCTGGAGGCCTTGCCCCTCATGCCAACTACTTAGATGTGGAGGGTCTGTGTCCTGGCCCTCACTTGTAACTTCTGAGTGGCCTCAGGGAGTCCCCTCTGTCAGCCTCAGCTGTGTTCACTCTGGATTGCTCTTGGGCTCTGTCTGGCTGCCTTGCAAACTTGCCCTTAGGTTCCAACGTGCCATATGGGCTATGCTGTTGGAGTGACGGGGGTCTTATTTAAGGCAGAGCAAACCCTGAGAAAGGTACTGATTTCCTACACAAGCATTGAGATGTCCCTGTTCTGGCCCCATGGCAGCTCATCAACCACAGCCTGGGAAGTTAGTTGTCTGGGGATGACAACTAACCTATTTTTTTCATGTCACTGGTCTCAGGCCCAGTCATTAATGAGAAGGTGTGTGCTCATTATACTTGCACTCAGTAGACTGAGCTGCATTCTAGGCTATCTCACCTGGACTTTAGACTGATTTAATGGCCCCATAAAATGAAGCCTTGTTGGCAGAGTTTGCCCTAATTACTGCAGTCACTTTTTCATTATGGTGACTCCCTAAGTTTCTCTTGCCTTGCCCTAGAGGTACTGAAAGTAAGTGACTTCTTCTTTACCCTCAGCTGTCCTATAAAAGGGCACATTTATCCTTTTTTACCCTTACATGGGTCACCCAAAGGGAAGGTAAAGGGAGCAGGAGGAAAGGCGGTGGGTGGCAGTGGTTCTCAACCTTCCTAATGCCCTTTAGTACAGTTCCTGTGGGTTGCTACCTGCAGGTTGAGAACTGCTGGTGTAGAGGAACAGCCCAGCACAGAACCTGGCCACCCTCCCACACCTGCCGGGCCATTTCTACTCTTCATTCCGTTTTCAGCAAGACCTTCTTACACTGATGCCCGTGACATCTCTGAATAGAGGATGAACTGAGGGAAGTACACACGCCTACTCAGTGCTGAGTGTTTTGCTTATCCTGCCTTTTGACAATCATTTATCACCACCATGCTGAGAAGGAAACTCTGTCTCAGAGAAGTTAGTTAACCTATGTTCAGGCCCTTGCAAAATGGTTTAACAGAATTTAAATCTGTCTGATTCTGAGGCTAGGTCTTCATTTAGCTTTTGTTTCTATACCCTGTAATTTCACATGGCTTGTCCAAGAACTCTCTGGACAGGCTTGCCTCTATCCCAACAGTATCTTTGAACAAATTAGAAAAAGGTGCTCATTCCTTAAGCAATATTGTTAAAAGATAATATAATGTTGTACAATCTGAACAATCGTAGCTATTCTACCAAGAAAAGTAGGAAGGTGAGGTGCTGCCCCTGCAAGCCTCACAAGGGCAAGTATATGAAGGAGCAAGTGGTTGCAGTGGGGGGCTCTCACTCTGGGGTTCAATCAGGAGCATCGAGCTTAAATTCAGTTAAAAGGTAGGCAGTTCCATTGATGAAATGTCACATTCGGACCAGGAGAAGATGCTGCTGTGAGACTGGCCTGCACACCTCTCATCCTGGTTGCCCAGGGTGCTTTCCGAAGCCCCAGAAGACTCACACCACACCTTCCTCGCAGGCCTGTGCTCCCAGCAGAATACACACCCTGTCTCTTCCCCTCGCCTCTCAGATGAGGAATGTCAGGCTTGTAGTCTGCTGTGGGGTGCACCGTGTTGGCCTCTGAGAACACTGGGTGTGTGATAGCTGGGTATTTGGATGTGGCAGGGTGTCTCCTGGAGGCTCTGAGCATGCTGTGCTCATGTGCATGCAGGGCTTGTGTGCTGGTGTGAGTTCGTGTGAGAATGGGCTCTCCCCTGATGTTGTAGGACTTTGTCAGAAAACCAAAATCTCTGCCTTCTCTGTTTGCTCTCAGAGAAGGGAATATATATTTGCAATGCAAATGGTGGACATTTAGCTGTGGTGACCCTGTGCAGGGAACAAATTGAACATCCATCCGTAAAGGCCAGTCTCCAAAGGATCCAAACCCAGTGTGCTCGTGTCCTTGGAGATACACTGTAGTTACCTCCTCTCCCACCATGGCCAAGGTTACTGTGTGCTCTACAGCATAACCATTGCCTAATGTCTCATCTCTCTTCCACTACTTTTGCTTTTTCACAAGATAATCGTTCACCTGTGGAACTTCTGCCTTTACTCTGTATTTTGCCATCTTAGTAAAATAAAGCTGAGACAAAACTGAATGAAGGTTCACACTCTTTGTAAGGAACGTTGCTTTCTTAACTTTAATTTTGCTTTTGGGGGTGAAAGAGAGGTGGAACTTGGGAGAGAAATAATGTTAGTATTTAAAACCAACAAAAGAATGTATATCTTTAGTTACTTTGAATATTTTTTCTCTTATATTAGTTCTCTTATAAATCTCCACTTTTGACATCTAATAGGTAGAATAAATGCAAATAGTTAATGTTCCATTGCAGTGCTATATCGTAATTGGATTACAAATCCCCTACATCAGAGTACCTCTGAGCTTTTGGGGGAAAAAATAACCTTTAATCACCTCAGGGTCATAAATCTGTAAATAATTGAATTTTTCTTTTTTCATAATTTTTGGCCAGGGCTGGGTTTGAACCCGCCACCTTTGGTACATGGGGCTGGCATCCTACTCCTTTGAGCCACAGGCACCAGCCGTAATTGAAAATATTTTTGTTTCTGTATTCCCAGTCTCTCTGATTGTTTTGATTTACTTGACTGATAACCAAATGGTGAATTGGTAATTAACATTGACTTATAACCAGATAATTAAATGGATTTGCTGATTCATATCACTATTGAATGAGTATTATATAGAACCAAAGGAAATGTGCTGACATTGCACTTTTATTTAAAATGTAGTCATTAGCATTCATTTTGGCAAAGTATAATCTGTATATTGGCCAAATCAGATTTGGTCGTGCTTCATTCCCCAGTAGTAAGTCTCTTAGAAATTGTGGCAGTTAATTTTATATGTCAACTAGGTTAGGGTATGGTGTCCAGTTGTTTGGTCAAATACCTTCCTAAAGGTACTTTATTTAGATATGATTATCATTTAAATCAATAGATTTTGAGTAAAGCAAATGATCCCCCATAATATGATGAGCATCGTCCATTCAGTAGAAGATCTTAAGGGCAAAGCCTGAGGTTCTTTGAAGAAGCAGCAAGTGTATCACAGGAATGCAATATTGAAAGTCTAGTTGAGTTTCCTGCCTTGTAGAATTTGGACTCAAGGCTACACTCTTGAAATTATGGTTTTGGCCTGCTGTGTGGATTGCCAGCCTGCATACTCACATAAGCCAAATTCTTAACAGAAATCTCTCTTATCTATCTATCTATCTATCTATCTATCTCTATCTCTACCTATATCTATCTATCTATATCTACCTCTATCTATCTATCTATCATCTATCATCTTATCTATTTCTATTTATCTGTATTTATCTCTGTCAATCTATCTCTCTCTATATCAATCATCTATCTATATCTATATATCTGTTATCTCATCTATCTCTCTATCTGTCTCTATCTATTCTATCATCTATCTATCTATCTATCTATCTAATCTAATCTATCTATCTATCTATCTATCTATCTATCATCTACCTCTCTATCATCTATCTCTATCTATCTATCTTTCTCTCTTTCTCTCTCTCCTATTGGTTCTCTTTCTTCTGGTGCACTCTATGACAAAGGGCATAGTTACTTTGTAAAATAACTTGATAAGTTAGCTAAGCACACTCAGAGTCTGGTGAAGATACAGAGAGACTATAGGGAATTAAGGAGCAGGCCAGGTGAGGAAGGAAAGGGCACGTGTGCA